TGGCTTCTCCCATGTGTGGATCCGCTGATGCCTGGCCAGGTTGGAGGAATGGGTGTAGCTCTTCCCACACACAGAGCACTGATATGGCTTCTTCCCTGTGTGGATGCGCTGGTGCTCAGCTAGGTGGGAGGATTGGGTGAATCTCTTCTCACACACAGAGCAGTGATACGGTTTCTCCCCTCTGTGGATGCGCTGGTGCTCAGCTAGGTGGGAGGATTGGGTGAAGCTCTTCCCACACTCAGAACAGCGATGTGGCTTCTCCCCTGTGTGGATGCGCTGGTGCCGGGCAAGGGTGAAGGAAAGGGTGAAGCTTTTCCCACACTCAGAACAGCGATGTGGCTTCTCCCCTGTGTGGATGCGCTGGTGCCGGGCAAGGGTGAAGGAAAGGGTGAAGCTTTTCCCACACTCAGAACAGCGATGTGGCTTCTCCCCTGTGTGGATGCGCTGGTGCCGGGCAAGGGTGAAGGAAAGGGTGAAGCTTTTCCCACACTCAGAACAGCGATGTGGCTTCTCCCCTGTGTGGATGCGCTGGTGCTGTGTCAGGCTAGAGATGCAGGTGAAGCTCTTGTGACACACAGAGCACTGATGTGGCTTCTCCCCTGTGTGGATGCGCTGGTGCTTGGCCAGGTGGGAGAATTGGGTGAAGCCCTTCCCACACGCAGAGCACTGATATGGCTTCTCCCCTGTGTGGATGCGCTGGTGCTGTGTCAGGCTGGAGATGCAGGTGAAGCTTTTCTGACACACAGAGCACTGATATGGCTTCTCCCCTGTGTGGATGTGCTGGTGCCGGGTCAGGGAGGAGGATCGGGTGAAGCTCCTCCCACACTCGCAACAGCGATGTGGCTTCTCCCCTGTGTGGATGCGCTGGTGCAGGGTAAGGGTGGAGGATTGAGCAAAGCTCCTCCCACACTCACAACAGCGATGTGGCTTCTCCCCTGTGTGGATGCGCTGGTGCAGGGTAAGGGTGGAGGATTGAGCAAAGCTCTTCCCACACACAGAACAACGATGCGGCTTCTCCCCTGTGTGCCTCG